AATTCTGGGAGTTGAAGTCCAGACATCTTCAAGTTGCCAAGGTTGAGGAACACTGTTTTAGGAGATGGCAGTCCCTGGACTACTGGAAAAGAGGATTTTCAAACCTACCTGTGTGACAGGTAAGAATTATCCCAGGGGCCTGTTTCTTTTGCAACTCTGGGGCACATGCCCACTTCTTTCATAGAAATAGTTGGTTTAGGAAGAAATAATAAGCTAATCTTTACATTCCTGAACCCGATGGCAAGTCTCTTCCTAGGTTATGCAAATCCAAATAAACCCCAATTGATACCTTGACCTGTTTTGCCATCTCAGGGAAGAAAACAGGAAATATGCACCTAAAAACCAGGCGGACCTTTGATCACACTGTCACAGGTGCCCCCTTGACATTTTTAACCACGTCTTGTGGACACGGCTGCTCGCCGTGTAGCCTAGAGCCCTGTGGGGTCTCCCCCCTGCCCCAAAGAAATAAGGTCTTAAATTGCATGTTCAAGAAGAAACAACTAAATTATCACCAACATAGCAAAGAAATGCCCTTTATTTAAAAATGGGGAGCATAACTTTGTAAGATCCCTTTATAGCAATGGAACTATAAAAAGAGCATATGTATAGCTTGACGTTTTAACTAAATTAATGGGGATATTTATCTTTTTAACTGTTTTTGGGTTTTACTTTAATTGTGAGTTGCCCAGACACACCCTCTGGGGGAGAGGGGCTGCATATAAATTTAATAAATAAATTAAATTAATAAGTAAATAAACCGAGCCAGCCTTGCTTAGGTTCTGAGCCAGATGTTACCACCTGCTGAGGCTCAAGACAGACAGACAGACAGACAGACATTGGGGTGGGTTGATGATACTGCTCGAAAAAACAGTTCAAAGGGGGAAACGCGGACCAATTTCCGAATTCCCTCTACCCTGGCAGGAAAACAAAATGATCTTACTTAGGCTTCCAAAATGCAGGGAGTGATTGGAGGGGAGGAAGCTGGAGACAGATGAGCGTATGGAAGGACTGGGAGTTCAGCTGTGATATGGAGAAGAGAGCGCATGCTCCATTTCTCTGAAAATAGTCTGTCTTTCGCTCCTGGCTGTGGCTGGTACATGTTACTGTCTTAAGAAGAAGTTACTGTAAACCAACCTGCTGAACCTGAACCTGGCCAGCTGCAGCATGCTAAACCAATATTTCTCAACCTCAGCAACTTGAAGATGGGTGGACTTCAACTCCCAGAATTCCCCAGCCAGCCATGCTTGAGAAACACTGTGCTAAACCCTCTGCCAGGATGGCACAAGCCTTTGCGCCAACTTGTGCCGGAAAAATCTGCATCCCAGCTCTTGTACAACCATATATTCGAATTCTCTGAGCGTCTGGTCTTCCCGAACAGGAAATGGATCGATGGCATCTCTTGCCACGCAGTGCCCTCTGCCGGGACGGATAAACATCTTGCTGCCGTTGCTGTCTCTTGCACTCAGGGGAGGAAGACATTCTGACTATTTAGCCTTTGGTCTGAGAAGAAAGGGAGAAGACGAGCAGAGGACGTGCCAACCCAGTGAAAAATAAGAGTGAATCCTTGCTCAAATGCGGCTGCAGCACCGGGGTGCAGCAGTTCACCTCTGCCACACTCACGCAGTCTTTCCCAACCAGGTGTCTGGGAAATACGGAAGGCAGGATTTTGCAGCGTGGATTCAGAACCTCAGTTGGCTTGGGGGACAAAAGGAATTTATAAAAAGACCCCCCTCGGAAGTGACTCTGCCAGCCAACCTTCTTTCTAGGTTCAGACTACAATACTGGCCACTGAGGGGGCTGTTGGGGGCCACCTTTCAACTGGAGTTTTTGATTAGGGCACCCTTGATAATAGGTGCCGAGTCCCCGTGGGCGGCAAAAGTTCCTACGGATCTGCTCCACGTTTCAGATTCCTCCAGCTTAAAAACAACATATTGATCTACAGCAGTGTTTCTCAGCCTCGGCAACTTGAAGATGTGTGGACTTCAACTCCCAGAATTCTCCAGCCAGCAAGGGACCATCCAGAGATTGCCTTTCTACAGTTAGTCATCTAAGGAACCGACGACTTTTGAAGACAAGAGATGATTGAATCCTAGAAACTGCACACCCAACCTAGCTTCAAGCGTGCTGAAACTTGGCTCAGGAACTGGTATCCATGCCCAAAGACTGTACACTATGCTCGGCAGGCTGCCACAACTTGACAACTCCACAACTTCCATCCCAAGAGCAGCTGCACTTCAAGGCAAGGCAGGAGCGGGGCAAAGTACCAATTATACACACCAGCCTGTGGGCCTCCAAACAGGTGCTCGCTCTCTCTCAGCAGTAAAATTGTTTCCATTATCATCCACCTGTAATTCCAAACTATTTATACAATTCTTGAGACACCGATATGAGACTAACAGCTTTTGCAGAACCACGCAAGCTACAGCTATAGTCACACAACTGAACTTGAGTCTTTGTCCTGGTTATTTATTATTCAGACCCAGTTTGCCGTATTAGTTGATCTACCAGTAACTGAAGTATTTTTCTCTCTCCAGCTGTCAACCATCTTCCCTATAGCCTTTACTCAGGAGCTACAGAAACAGCACTCCATCTATTGTGCAATCTTAGCTCTGCCACTCATTTCACAGGGGCAAATCAGGGTCCTCTTGGGTTGCTTGTCTCCCACTTAGACATTGTGCAACTCTCTTATTCAGGTTAAGTCAGCAGTTTTATTTAAAGGATCAGATTGTTTTTCCTAGATATTAAGGGACATAATATGACAGCCAACCAGGCAAAGCAGTTCAGGCTTTGCAAAAGCAGTGTTCATTGGGTGCAAAAGGGGATCAGGTTCCAGAGCTGAATTTCCTTTTTCAACCTTTCTACAAATTACATCCACGTTTACCAAACACATTTCTCTTCAAATTGGTTATCAGGCTTAAAGAGTTAACACTGAAGTTTTGCTTTGCACCTACATGTTTACTCCAGTCCCAACCTTCTGGTGCACCGGGCATCCAATTTTTGTCTCAATATTACTAACCACTCAGGAAAACTGAACGGGATGACAAAGGAGGCCTAACCAAGATCTAGACTGGATTAATCACCTTTATATGCAGCTAAAATGGTTTCAACACGTTGCGGGGGGGGGAACTGAAATTCTCTATACAGGTCATCTGCAGCTTAAGAATGAGTTCCCTTCTCAGGATCTGTCCATAAGTCAAATTTGTATGCAAGCCGGAACAGTATTATTGTATAATAACAAGTATTATTGTATAATACTGTACAAGTAGATTTGGGTAATGGACTCAGACTATTGTGTATTTCACTCAAATTTTGCTACCATAGCCTCCACTCTTAACTATGGGTCGTCCTTAACTGGGGACTACCTGTATGATTTCTTTAAAGCCCAGATCCTAAGGCATTTGCTGAGCAGTATTACAAGTCATGTCTCATTGTGGCTTCCCACAAGCAAAACGTGGAATAGCTTCCTCCAGTCTAAAAAGGTAGGAAGGAGTGGCCTGAAAATGGGTAACAGCTAAAGCTCTCTGTAAATTGGGGAGTGTTGAACTCTTCTGCAGAAATAAGCAATGAGAAATAACCACTTTGGTTTAACGCACTGGGTAGTTATAAGCTACACCAAGATCACATTGACTTTTCTGTATTAATATAAACACCTTTCAGTGTATTAGCTTACGTTAAGTTAGGCGAAGAGAGTTTTATTTCAGTAAAGCTGGCTATGTAACCGCAGCGTTCCGCGAGTCAAGTCTTTCTTTTGGGAGGTATTGTCAACCTTAAGCAGAAAGAGGGAACTTGTGGGACTCACTGTTTACTCTTCTCCCATTGACAGGTGGATAGGAAACAAGGTACATTTAATACCTCTCTAATATTGAGTACCTGGGAATATTCCTGTTTTGTTTATCAAATTTGTCACTGCCCATCTCGTTAAACGAGTCTGGGTGGTTTACAAAACAATTAAAATCAATTGAAATTACAATATTACAACACTACTGAAGGATAGATGCAAAAGGAATGGAGCAGAAACTCAGATTTCCTTAATAGTATTGTCCTCACAATTACTGTTTTAAGGTATACACATCCACACCAATCATGTTTTCAGCCCTATTATTTTATTAAGTCCTGTACATATCCGCATGGTCATTCAGACCATTCAAATTCACAATCCTTCTTTTCCCCCAGAATTGCCATGATCCTCGTTGGTCCTCTTCCAAGCACCATGCAGCTGAAAGATTGAGGAAAAAAGAATTAAGATCAGATCTTGACAAGACAGGAGACACTACATTACCGTTAAATTCAATGAATTTTGGAACTGAGATTAAGAGGGGCCTTTCCCTTAAAGGTAGCCAAGTCAGGTAGTGCTAAAAGCAGCCACTTCCACTGTTTCCCACCATAGCAACAACGGAGCTAAATAACCCTTGTACAAGACCAATACCTGTGTGCACAGATGATAGTTTCAGTTGAATTTTGGTCCTCAGCCTTGAAAAATCTATTTCCTGCTCAAGTGTCTGTTTCTTCATCAACCTGTCAAGACAAACTTGTGTTACAAAAAACCATATTCACAGAGCAAAGATGCTGTAATTTCTACCCTGCCCACCCGTCAACAAGACAAGCAACATTTCCTACAAAGGGTTTCCACAAAGGTAACACAAGAGCCCAGTTTGGGCCAACTGTTCCAAGACGCTTCCCTCGGACCGGCCAATGGCACCTGATCCCACAAAAAGCAGTTAGTCACGGTTGATAATGGCTGCTTAGGAACAGTGTGGGCTATGGGGAAAAAGTTAAAATGCAAACAAGATGGCAAAGTACATTACAGTTACGTGACTTAAGTCTTAAGGAAGAATCTCCAGAGATGAGCGGAATTCAGCTCCCCATCTTTCCTCTAACCCTATTGGCAAAGAGATGGCTGCACGTATGCCCCCTTCTGACCCACATCAAAGTTATGCCATAAAAGCCAAAGACTCATCATAGGAAAGAACTTTAAAAATAAAAAATGCTTTAGCTGAACAAAGTTGGCAGAAAAAATGTGGTTCACATAGGTTAACATTGACTTTCCAAAAAAAATTATATATATGAGCTCTCAACAGGAGGAAGGATGCGGACATGAGGAAAAGAGTTACCTCGAATTACAGGACTATCCCCACATATGAACTAGCCAAGAGAGCAGCTTTCGTCTCAGAGGTTCTCTCTGTTGGAGGCACAACACTTCTTTTTCGCCAAGGCACTGCAGTTTTCCATATGCTAGCAGAAAATTCTTAGAACTTTAAAGGCAACGACAAAGCTAGCTAAATTAGGTCACAGTTATCGGCCTTGGAACACTGTCAGACTAGTGGCAGCTGACCCAGTTAACAAGAGACTCCATTATGGGCTAAATGTTTGGCTGGCTTTCGGCTAGTAAGCTAGTCCATGTTTTTAGTATGGAGCTACCCGTCTTATTTAATCTAAGTCCACTAGCAGCATATTAAACAAGTGAAATCTATTTTCTTCTTTCAAAGGTTGGATCAATTCCAGCCAAAGCTAAGTAACCCCATTAAGGGCAAAATGATTTGTGATGTCCTCTGGTACCTTTGTTTCAATCACCCTCAAACTGCCTGATGTCTCTAGGCCTGAAAGCACAGCATTGTTTACACTTTGTTCCGTAAGAAATGTGGGGCCGTATTCTCCCTCGGTTAACTCGCCACTCACTGCTTCTTCCCTGTCTAACTGTATACTGTTTCACGGCCATCCAGACTTGTGTTGTGCAGCAAGAGGTAAGATTTCAAGAGCAGATTTTTTTTCAGATGGACTTTTAATAGGCTTCGTGAAGCCAAAGGAAACTGTACAAGAAATCCTTTTCACCACTTCAAAGTTACAACATCAATTGAATTAGGCATACTTTCTTTCAGTAAAAAAAGGACAATAGAAACAAACATTTTTCCATGAACCCCTTGGGTGGTAAAATCTGCAGAGTCTCTCTGGGTTAAATTTTATGGCATACAAGTTAAAGTCTCTTAATGCAGGTTGAACATACAAGCAAAGTATCTCTTTAGATATATCAAGGTGGGTTGCCTTTTAAAATCCATACCCAGGCTACAATACCTTGCTACACTAAAGTTTTATTCAATTTTTTTTTTAACAAAATGAAGCACTAAACAAAAAAGAGTTCACAGCTTGCTCAGCTTCTACTGAACAATTAAGGTCCTTTCTTGCTCAAAAGAAAAACAGATACGGGGCCCCAAAACCTTCCGGTCTTTTCTTTTTTTAAAAAAAACAAAAAACTAAGACACATACAAGCCTTTGCTCACAAATGAACTAAAATCTTAAGTGCTTTAAAAAAATTAAAACACTCGAGAGAAAAACCCAGAGCTTTCTTTGAGTCTGAACAGACCATCACGTATTAGAAGCTGTCAAGGCTGTGTTATTGACAAGATCAGAATTGCGAGTTTACTACAAAAGTGAGAATACAAAGGAGATGACTACACAAGAACGATTTCAGCGAAGCTCCAAAAATCTTTATAAATACAGCCAATGGAAGGACGATCTTGAGCCAGGAAGGTTTTTTACTCGTTGTGTGTAGCTGAGGACAAGAAGCAGGCAGAGTTGTAAAGGCACTGAAGCACAGACAAGTTCCAGCATTTTTTCCTCCCCTACTTGTTTGCCAAGCACTTCAACACTAGCTTGCTATCTCTTGCCCCACCCATTTGTATTCTTTTTTCCTTCTGGGCTTGAGGATTCTGGGCGTTGTTTTCAGCTTCAGAAAACTAGTTATGGATGCTTTGCCTTTGGATCCAACTAGAGCTACACATGCATTAATGAGGGTTTTTGCTTTTCTGTGGCACAAGTGCTTAAGGCCTGCCAAAGGAGTGGTGCCTCTCATGGGCGGGGAGAGGTTGCCAGCAAAAGCTCCAAGCAAACCTTACAATATTTCCAAGGTTATCATTGCAAGATCAAGAGTGGCTCCACACATTCCCATGTCAGCACATCCGCCTTTCCCTCACGATTAAAGACTTACCGTAACTGTCATAGCTGTCTCTGTAGGACCCTCCTGAAGGCCTGTCTCCATAGCTTCCTTGACTTCTGCTAAGGAAGGCAGACAGAAAGCAATGTTCACTAAGCATATCAACAACCACAAAGCATAAAGGACTCACATTTCATCTCACTTGTCACGTGTCTTGCTTTCACGTACCTGCTTCCATAGTAGTCTCTGGATCCACTGTATCCCCCACTTCTGGATTCAAATCTGCTGCCCCCATAACCTCTGTCTCCACCAGTTCCTGGAAGAGAAAACACCCCAAACATTGAAATAAATTCAACAGACTTCTCAATCAGAAACTACAAGTTACTGGAAAACAGAACCTCACCTCTAGAGAATCCACGGCCTCTACCTCGGCCTCCACGGAAGAAGCCTCGGCCTCCAGCCGATCCCCCTCTATAGCCACGAGACCGGTTTTCAGATGATTTGCCTGCTTGATCAACTCTGATCTGGCGGCCATCAACAGACTGAAAAAAATTAAACTCCAGGTCAACACGGCACTCCGCAACCCAATGCAGAAAGTTAACACTAATAGCCTTTTATTAACATCAGCTATAGTATATTTGATTGTAATGATCATGAATCAGTATTCCTGTGTTTACAGAAAATACCTATTTGGTAAACATGGTATTATCAACACTAATGTCATGAAATATTAACCAATTACACAAAGTCTCTGGATCTATTGAGCAACTAGCACGTCACCCCCCTCACTTGCTGAAAGTGAGGATAAGAATTCCTCACCTTCCCATTCATGGCCATCATTGCATCTTTTGCATCATCAATATTCTCGAAAGTTACAAAGCCAAATCCTCTGGATCTCTGGGTTTCTCTGTCTTTTACAACAACAACTACAGGGAAGAGAAGACATACAGCATTTAATGCATATTTCCATAAAACACATGGGCAAACATCACCAGAAAAACAAGCATTTTTGCATGGCTAAACAGATGCTTGGAGTCTTAAAAAAGGGAAGCCAAGATTTATCTGCTCTAAGCTTCCAACAATATAAAGAAAAAGGACATTAGGGGTTTTTTTTTTTACCTTCAGCTATCTGTCCATATTTAGAGAAAACTTGCTCAAGTGATTGTTCGTTGGTGTCAAAACTGAGTCCACCAACAAATAATTTCCCCTCATCTGACGCCATTTCTTTTCTGTAAAAGAAAATACAAACTCAACTTTAGCATTCACCAAGGGACACACTCACCAAAAGCATATTGTTTTGAAATCAAAGCCCAGTAAACAATGCAGTTCCAGTTTTGGTTGGATCAAAGTGGCATCAACTCTAATTTTGCTGTCAGATTCATACAAAAATGACAGAATTTCTATTGCCTTCAGCAACTGAATAATTAGCATTTAAATCTTGGGTAAGCAAATACTAAAAGTACAAAAGTGCTCTGATTAAAAAATGAGTGTCATTGTAGGCCAAGTAGCACCATGTATATTTTTCCTCTTACCCCTCTACTTTCTGGTCTATTTTCTTTGTTTTGACACTTCAAAAAACAAGCAAACACATAATTTTATAACTATAATCACCCTGAAAGTTTACTTGAGCCACACGGAAAATCAATTTATACAAGAGTTGCTATGCAGCACAGCAGAAAGTTTCCAACTTTACTTCAACAATGTATCAAAAAGAACATGGAAACCGGGGGAAATCAAACTGGCCATAAATAAAATTGGTGATTGAAATGGGATACATAAGCTAATGTATTAAAATATTCCACATAAAACCTGCAATAAGGCATAGCGTTCAGTTAAGTCCATATACAGCCTGTTTTCGTGTCGAACTATAGCCCACCGCCACCCTCTAAAAATAAAGCTCCTCTGCGGCTGCGCGCCGCGAAACCAGCTACTCCAACAGAGGGCGCTTAGTAGCAACATAGCACACGCATGCGCAGACAAAAGGTCGCGCCCCTCCGTAAGTTCGCGCTTCCGCGCATGCGCATCTACCATCCACCCGTCCTCCTACCAGGCGCCATTTTGAGGTTCGTCCCAAAAGCCGGTTGGAAACCATTTTGTTTTTTTGTAGTCCACCATCTAAATCGCTACCCGCTAAAAGAGATTTTCTCGCAGTAAATAACCTTCCCTATATTTTATCACATCTGCGTTCACCACCCGTCCCATTTATGTTATTAACCAAAATCTATCTTTGACGTCGTTCTTCACTCCGCGCCTATTTATATCATTCCTTTTCTCGTACACTTTTCTTTTACGACCACCGCGCGCGACCCCCTTACCGATGTAGTTTAACAGCGACGGAGACCAAGAAACAGCCCTCGAAGTCCCAGCGCGAACTACGCGGCGGTTCGCCTGCGCTTCCGTTTATATATCTCCTATGAGCACCGCCTACTTCATGAATATGCAGATGAACTCGGCTTTATAAAACGGCCCCAGCTCTTCACTCCTCACGTTCCGCAGGCATGAGGTAATCAGAAACAAAAGCTTCCCATTGGTTAGCTCCTGATTAATATTCATACAGAAAAAGAGGAGGAGGGTTAGCAAAAGCCACAGCAAGAAAAAAGGGCCCTCTTCTGTTCTCTCCGTCACGTGGGTCCATGTGTCAAGAAAAACAAAGATGTGATTGGGTAAACGAAGACTAAGACGGTAGGTTGCTAAGGGCAACAAGCCGCGCCTATTCGTCTCTCGCAAGCTTATTGGTCAACTGCCGCTCTCCCAACAGCCGCAGTAGTTCGTCCTGGTCGCCGGGAGAAAAGTTGGGCGTGGCTCCACGACCTAGTTTCCCGCCCTTGTCAGCAATGCAGTGCCGCTTTGCCGCAGCAGACAAAGGGGATTGCTACGACTGGGGGGAGGGAAAAGGCCAGCGCCATCTTGGAGAAGGTGCGCGGCCCTCGAGACCACAATCCACAGCGCGACGACACCCCCCCCCGCCCGACACAAAACAATC